TATCGCCTTGCTTATAGTATCGCAATATATCGTATCGTGACCCCTCTGTCGTGATATGTATCGTATCGCCAAATTCTTGCCAATACACAGCTCTAGTATTTTGCTCTGTAGGGGTGAGGGGTCACCTGGAGGTGTTAAAACTCATCTGACATCTCGTCTACTGCGGAACTAATCATAAAACTTTTTTTTTAATTGCTTCGATTTGATTAATAATTTTCTCTCATATTAGAGGCGTCACTCTGGTCCAGTCTGAAAATGCGCTCTGCAGCTTCTTCCATCTTTTTATTTTTTTAAAGGCAAACGGATCCGTTAATGAAAAAAAAAGGTGAAACGGGGGTTCATTATGAACACACTGTAAGAGTACAGTGATAAAACTGATGGTGTGGGTCGCCTCATGCCAGGGTTACGTAAGCCACAGCCTTTGTTTCACACAGGATGGTCTGGCTGTGCAATAAAATGGGTTTGGAGAAAAAAAAACTTACAAAGAGTCATTTAAAAAAAAAAGCCCGCTTTTCGTGTCAGAGTTGCTTTGGAGTAATGGGTGCGAACTATAATTTCAAGTGTGAGTCAGACTCTTTACACGGCTTCAACTTCCCACCAACAAAATGTCAGACCTGTTCTTCTCCGTCTGGCGGCATTTATACAGTAGCTCCGTCTGGCTTTGTGGAGCAGTTTTCTTGTCTGTCAGAAGTTCAGTTTCATGGAGCTCATGATAAAGGGGATAGTTGAGGGGTGTTTTATATGGGTTTCGTAGTGTTGCATCACACAAAGTTGAGCTTTTTCTTGAAAATACTGTTACATCAGCACRTATACAAAGACCTTCAAGTCTAAACAGCACATTCTGAAAACAAAACCTGCTCAGCTGCATGTTCTGCTTTTTGATCCTCCTGTTTGGGCCTCTTTTCTTCCAGGGTTTGGGAACATCTCTCCTCACACAGAAGGAGGGCGGATCTTCTGCATAATCTATGCTCTGCTGGGGATCCCCTTGTTCGGGTTCTTGCTGGCAGGCGTCGGGGACCAGTTGGGAACTATTTTTGGCAAGGGCATCGCCAAAGTGGAGAAGATGATTGTGGTGAGAAACGAGTGAATGAGTGAGTGTGTATTTGACTCCGTCAGCAAAGTATGGGGTGCCAAGTGTAAACTAAAATGTTTAAAAAATGTCACTAACACATTTTTATCATGTATGAGTGTAAAATCCTTGTTTWAAAAAAAWTCYACTAACATTTTATTGTTATTTAGCTCAATGCCCTAATTTTTACTAAATGTTCAATTTAAATGTTAAATGTGAATGTTAATTCCTATAAATGTGTAAATCGAAATGTAAAAGTTAAATGTAAATGTTGTGGCTAAATGATAACGTTTACATTTAATAATTACAGAAAGGAACTTCACCTTTGCTGTTGGTGCACAGCTTTTGTCGCTTTTGTCATGACGTCATCATCCTGAGACAGAAGCAGATGCTAATGTTGCTAATCCTTCTAACGCAGCTGAAGATGGCATTCAAAATCTAAATTCAAATTGTGTTCATCGAAAATAATATAGATAGTACCTGTGGTCCAGCAGTTTGAAGTGCAGCATGGACAACAACCACAACTGCAAGTTTTGAGGTCCTGTAGGGAAGAATTAGCAGCGTTCGCAGCGTTAGCAATTGTTTTTGTCTCAGGATGATGACATCACAACAAAAACCAGCAGCAAAAGCTGCGTTCTCTTCTGAAATCCTTAACTGTTAGCTTTATCGTTTAGCTGCAACATTTAAGATTTAATTTTTACATTTAGATTTACACATTTAGATTTAGGATTTAATATTTACACGTTACGTTTTGTATAATTTAGCTAAATGTAAGAGCAGTAAGCTAAGTAACAACAAAATGTTAGTGAAATTTTGTAAGTAGGATTTTACACTCAGAAAGTGAGCTAAATAATGAAAATGTGGTAGTGACATTTTTTTAACATTTTATTTTGTTGCTCCATGTCCTAGAACTTGGATCAATATATCAAAGCCACCATTATAAGAACTGTCACTGATTCAAACAAACAAAAAAAAAACACATTTACTGGCTGTCGGAGGCTAATTTATTCAGGTGCACGTTATTCCCCACTGCCCTCGCCCACTCTTCAACCAGGAAGCCAAACCAAGCATATGATCAGCAGATGGAGAAGGAAGCATGTCCCACTCTGGTACATTTACACCCCTCTGTATGTTTACCACAGTAATCTGTACGCGCTTGTCATCTGTGTCAGATTTTATCGTTTAGAGCAGTAATGTCAGAAGATTCACAAAAAACAAAGCTTTGCTTTTTGCCTCTGACTTTGGCCACTTGTGCTTAGATGCAGTTTAGGGTTGCCATGGCTGCGGTAGAGCGCAATCAAAACTGCATTTTATTGCAATAATGGAAGCCTATTTGAGTAAATTGCATTTGTTTTAGAAGAGTAGCTTTTATTAGATGAAGCAGCATGCATCCTTTTTGTGTTTAAAGTGGTCTGGTTTTTTGAAGTGGTATGAACAATGAATGTCTTACCTGTTGTAGATAGCCCTTTGAATGGCCTCAGTTTGGTGAAAAAGCTTAACTCTGACGGGATCGATGAGTTAATGGCTGGTCAGAGTGTGTAAACAAAATGCCAAAATTGTCTTCTTTTTTAAGGAAACAGCAAAATAACTTTGTTTCTTCTAATGGTGGTGGCTCAGAGGGTTAGCCACAACAGGTAAGATACTAACTGTTCATAATGTTCCCTCAGAACCCAAACAAAACAGCTAACCCACAGAGATGGGGACTCGAGTCACATGACTTGGACTCAAGTCAAACTCAAGTCATTAATATTATGACTTTAAGACTTGACTGGAAAAAATGTTGAGACATTTGTGACATGAATTTTATACTAGTGACTTGAACCTGTTTACTTGAAAACACTTGTTATTTTACCAAACATCTAATATTTAATACGCATTATTTAAGTGGGACCCATTAATTAATTTCACTCATTCTGTATTAACGAAGGCAGGCTGTCTTTTTGTTCACTCTCTGTACACGTGTGTGTGTGAGCCGCAGCACAGCGAATTAAATTAACTTGGTTTTAAAACATGTAAATTTATAATTTAAAGGAAGACTATTGCAGTTTATTTGAACGGTGCAAAATAGAGGTGCAATTTTTAAAAGATTTTTTAAAATACTTTGTAAGTTCAGCTGCATATGTTTCTGCACGATTTGAGATAAATATAGATTTTAAAAAAGATAACACAGTCTATTATTTATATTTAACATTTAACGGCAACATTGTTTTAAAAAAGACTTGAAATTCCAAGTTTTAGACTTGGAATTTGACAGCTGCCTATCTTGACTTGAGACCTGACTCTGACTTGACTGTCTTTGCTTGAGACTTGACTCAGGACTTGARGATTAGGACTTGAGACTTGTAAAACAATGACTTGGTCCCACCTCTGCTAACCCATTGCTGTAAGTCAGGGATGTCAAAAGTCATTTTCACCGAGGGTCACATGTGCACTATGGTGGTCCTCAAAGAGCCAGCTGTAATTAACTTTATAATTAACATTGACTAAAAACAAAACGTCATGTTCTTTCATTGCATGAGCACTGCTAACAAAAAAATAACTTAGCTCTACCTGGTATTTCCTTCATAGAAACAGTGTTTAACACATCGTCTTATAAACACTGAAAGGTAATATGTGTACGACTGACTAAATGTTAAATAAATAATACAGAAATACTATTATGAGTATATGTAACAGTTTTACTCACTGTGAGTAGCTGCCGGCTTGTATTCAGAACTCTCCCACTTCCCAGTCCAACTGGGCGGCAGCTTAAGTAGCCAATAAAAAGCAGCCAAATGGAAATTTTGCAGGCTAAATTTGAACCCTGTGCACCTCCACCTGGTGGTGGGATGCCATCATTTTGCAGGTAAAGTAATCAACATGCATTATGGGAGATGTAGTTTATGGCCAACACTGGCTTTAAAGCAGCTTATTTTAAGACATTAATACATATTTGAAACTCTCGCAGGCCACATAAAATGCTGTGGTGTTGGTCTTATGTTTGATATGTGCTGTAAGTTATTTAACAGTTACCTAAAGAATTTAAGAAATATATAAAATCACTTCAAAACAGGGGTGGGCAATCCTGGTCCTGGAGGGCCGCAGCCCTGCATGTTTTACTTGTTTCTCTGCTCCAGCACACCTGATTTGAATGAATATATGATTATCAGGCTTCTGCAGTATGGAGGACCAAAACTGACATAATTATAAATAAAAGCAGAATTATATAAATGGACTATTAAATAAATACACTTAAAGGCATCAATTAGAGAAATTTATCTCCTGTTTTCTATTTTAATTGACTTTCATATTTATTTTTCCAGGTTAGTTTCAATAAATTAGTCTGTATATTTTAACACATAATTTAAATTTTACTTTTTTTTACATATATATTAATTGTTTTTCCTTTACTTGTACATGCATTTGTGTGTCTTAAATGTTTATACTTAATTATGTTTACATTTTTTCCAATAAGTCTTTTTATTTCAATGTGTTGCATGCTTGTGGTGCCTAAATTTTGCTTAAAGTTTATTTTAAAACAAAGGCAAAGAGGATTACCTATACCTTTATTAAAAATATATATAAAAATAATTAAATTTAAGCATTTAAGAGACATAAATGCATGTACAAAAAACAGGGAAAACTATAAAAACATATTTAAAAAATGTAAAATTTAAATTATGTGTTGAATACAATTTATTGGAACTAAGCTGGGGGAAATTAATATGAAGGTAAATTAAATTATAAAACTTGAGGTAAAGTTCTTTTTTAATTTATTTGGTGCATTTTAAACGCATTTATTTATTTAGTGGTTCATTTATATGTTTCTGCTTTTAATTCTAATTATGTCAGTGTCGGTCCTCCATACAGCAGAACTTGGAAAAGGTAATTCAGTGACTGAATCAGGTGTGTTGGAGCAGGGAAATATGTAAAACATGCAGGACTGCGGCCCTCGAGGACCAGGATTGCCCACCCCTGCTTCAAAAAATCTTACTTATGAGACTGTTACCTCAAAAGAAATGGATTTTAAAGGACAGTGTAGTTTATAGTTAGACATTAAATATGCTCAAATATTAAAGGGCTCAACCTTAAAAATATAATCTTCGGTTTCAGCTTCAGTTTATTGTAACTCTGACTGTCATGAACACTGCATTAACAAAGATTTTTCATCTGTTTTATAAGATCAACTCTGAACTTTCTCTTGTACAATTTGTTAAAACTAATAGATTTTTTTCACTTCAGGTAGAATTTAAAAAAATACATTTCTAAAGGAAAAAAGAAAAGCCTGAAAGCTTCAGAGTGTGCATACTGTTATAACAGGAGGAGATCACATTCACCTTTCCAAAACACCGTGGTGAACAACATTTTGAGGGACTGACCCTCTGATTGCAGATATGTCACATTTCTTTTCATCTCTGAGTTGGTGCTTCCTCCTGCAGGGAAAATTATGGCTTATTATGGCTTTTTAAGTGCCACCACTACAGACAGGAGCAGTAACCAATAAATACAAGTGGCCTCTGTGAAGTCATTTGACCAAAGATTAAAGGCTGTTTGCACCCTTTTCCAGTAGGAGCCATGCTTTATTTGTGTGTGTTTTGTTCGTTTTGTGCTAATTCAAACCAGATGAAAATTGGTTTATATCAGCCATGAAATTATCCAGATTAACGAAGAGCTGTGAAATGTTTAACTGGAAAGAAGAAAAAAATATTTTTCTAGTTTATCTTATAATTTCATAGAATGTTTGTTACACATTTACACACTGATTTGTAAAGCATAGTGACTGATTTCAGCTTAAGAACTTCCAGTTTCAGTACAATAGCTTTTTTTCCTCAGATCCAGATACTCAGCAGCAGCTTAATATTGATTCTTTGTGAGTTTGTTGCTCCCTGTGGAGGAAAAAAAGGTCGAGGAGTCATTTGAACAATAGAAACAGAAGGATAGTTAAAGTTGCTGCTGTGTAGTGTAGATGCCTAACAGCAACCTCAGCTTCATCCGTCCCCCTGGAATACAGCAGTGCTTAGTTTTCAGATAAATTTGGGGTGGTAGGATTTAATTTGGATCATTTGTTTTTATGATGAACAACCCCAGTTCCAAAAAACTTTGCATGAAATGTTTATAAAAACAGAGTGCGATGGTTAAAAACTCTCATGAACCTATTTGCTATTTGCAATAAAACATAAGAAAAAATGACATATGGTCCATTTTGAATATTATGGCAAGGGAACGTTGTCCCACGAGCAGTTGCCTCTTAATAAGAAGGTTGCTAGATTGAATCCCGGCTGGGAGTCTTTCTGGGTAGAGTTTGCATGTTCTCTCCAATCGTGTAGGKTTTCTCASGTTTCCTTCCACAGACCAAAAAMCATGAATGYTAGGTTAACCGTTAACTTTAAACTGTCCCTGGGTATTAGTGAGAGTTATTAATTTGTCTTTATGTTAGTAGAGACAACCTGTCCAGGGTTTACCCCGCCCCTCACTGCAAGACCCAGGCGGGCTTGGATTCAAACCCAGGTTCAGTGTGTTTGCCCTTATGGCCCAGTTCCACCCCGATTCCTGTAACCCAGWGACCTGTGGTTCTATGTGGGCTGAGCTGCTCGGCTCAATTTGACATCAGCTACTGTTGCTGATTGATTGGTTTACTGRCCTGTGYTCCGTTACAWAGATGAGAGTAACTTTACATGAATTATTTGCAGTGACCAACATTTCATTTGCACAAGTTTAACTTCATAATAACAGTAGAGAGCATCCAAACAACAACAAGCTAACCTTAGCTACCATTAGCTTACTGTTTTCTGTTGTCCTGGCCTCTCATCTTAAGCGTCACACTGCTGGATGGTCAGGTACAGCCTTTGGTACTTTTCCTTCGACTTTGGTGCAGTCCATTGTTGTTCTGTCGCAAATAAACCAAAATAAGATTTGCACATGTTTAATATTATGATCTCACCCACATCAAGGCAGCTCTCTGCTCAATGCAAACATAATCAGGACCAGGGTAGACCATGGCCAGGCCGATTGGAGCAAGGGCAGGTTGAGTCAATGCAAAAACACCTAYGTTGACTGCTGGATATGGGCACTGGCGACCCCAACTTCCTAGAAAAGAAGTGGGTAAAGATAATGGATGGGTGGGAACGCTGTCCCGTACTTGATCGATGATCRATGTAGGATTCTATCTGTTCAACAGACTTGGGTCGTCCTCGATGGATCAAAGCAAATATTCTGTTGAGTGACAATATTCTGAAATTGTTCCACTACTTTTAGATACTCTTTTATTCCCAGTCCTCTTACTGACTTGTTGCTTGTTAGCCTAATTAGCTGTAAAATGGTCTTCCAGTTGTTCTTCATTTGTACAGTTTATTCATTCCAATTAGTCTCAACATTTGATATGTTTACATTTTTATGTTGAGAAGATTGTGAAATTTGAAAATCATTGACTTCTGCTCTTATTTACGTTACACAACCTTTTTGGAGTTGGTGCTGTACATTATCTTTTACCCAAGTGAGACAAGATAATGAAACATCCCAGACTTGGTGATCCGAAGCATGTCTGCTTTTTAAATTTCTCTTCAGGTGAACTGCGGTCAGAACTTACGAAGCTGGTGAGAAAAAGGGCACAATGCTTTCGATGTAACCAGCTGAAAGCCYGTCACCTCAAGAAGAAAAGCTGCACAGGCATCAGCAGCAGGCAGAATGTATTTCAATGCACAGTAATAAGGATGGAAAAGAAGGACTGCGGGGGCTCAAATCAAACTGCAATTTGCAAAGTCACAGCAGATTTTGCATACTGCCACCATTCTGAAACCCTTAGAATATCAGCTAAGACTGAACATGAAATACTGTGGAAAATCACAGCTGTTCCAGCAGGTGACAGGATTCTTAAGTCATCCCAATTTGGGTGGGCGCACCATCTGACAGTGAACGCAGCGTCACTTGAACATTTGCAGTTTAAGATATCAGAAAGCACCATGTGTTAAAGTTGGAAGTTTTGACGTGAAATGAGTTTATCTTGATGTGAAATTAAAGGTTTAGCTTTGTGGACTGAGAAGTAAAATTCCAACACATTAGATTGCGTTTGCGTGTTTCTGCTCAAAGAGTTTAAATTTGTTGAAGCATTAACCTGATATTCCCGCTGATTTACATCGAGACTCTTAATTGTTTTCAGCTCACTCCTTGTTTCTACGTGTTTTACTTTCCCCAGAAGTGGAAAGTCAGCCAGACGAAGATCCGTGTCATCTCAACCCTGCTCTTCATCCTCTTCGGGTGCCTCATCTTCGTGGCCCTGCCGGCCGTCATCTTCAAGTACATCGAGGGCTGGAGCACACTCGAGTCCCTCTACTTCGTCGTCATCACCCTCACCACCATCGGTTTCGGGGACTTTGTTGTTGGAGAAAAAAGTAACTCGACTGAGGGTGTGTGGTCTCCTTTTATCTCTTTTATTTGCATGTCTGGAGCCTGGATTAGAAATGGTGTATTTATAGAAGAGTGATTCCTCAGCCAGCTTGACTCAGGAGAAGTGCTCAGCTGTAATAAGCCTCCCACCAGCCTTCTTTTGCATTCTGTCCTTTGCTTCATAAATGTTCATTGAACAGATTTTCCTTCTGAATCTCTGCATGTTCAGCCCCACAATCTGCTACAGCAAAAGTTAAAACTCACTGCGGATGTGAACTTTTCATGCTGATGATTTTGTTTTCACCGAGACAAATCTTACAAATTACAGACATGCAGTATCTACCTACCTACCTAACATCATACCTACCTAACATCATACCTACCTACAATCATACCTACCTACCGTCATACCTACCTACCAACATACCTACCTATCTACCTACCAACATACCTACCTATCTATCTACCAACATACCTACCTACCAACATACCTACCTATCTACCTACCATCATACCTACCTACCAACATACCTACCTATCTATCTACCAACATACCTACCTATCTATCTACCAACATACCTACCTATCTATCTACCAACATACCTA